GGGATCCCGGGAATCGGGGCAGGGATCCCGGGAATCGGGGCCGGGATCCCGGGAATCGGGGCAGGGATCCCGGGAATCGGGGCACATCTTGGCTCCGTCTCTGCTAGCGCCTCTCCCTGAGCCAGAGGAGCGTCCCAGCTGGAGAAATCCCCGCTCCAGCAGGGATCCGAGGGACCTGGGAAGTCTGTCCCAGCGATTCTCTTTCAGATCCCTCCCATTCCCATGCAAACCGTGTTTAAGTTTTCCACAAGATGTCCCAGAGCAAGAAGAGCATCCTAGCAGGAGAAATCCCTCCTCCAGGAAAGATCCTAAAAGTCCTTCCTAAAATTATTCAAACTCTGGAGTACTTTCAAACCCCTCAGTGCTCCTGCACACCATTTAAGTTTTTCACATTATGTCACAGAAGAACAGCATCCCAGCAGAAGTCTCTCCTCCAGGGGAGATCCTAAAAGTCTTTCCCACCCGTAATGTTTCTATATTTTACTTTCAACCTCCCCCATATCAATGCACACCATATTTAAGTTTTCCACAAGATGTCCCAGAGCAAGAAGAGCATCCCAGCAGGAGAAATTCCTCCTCCAGGAGAGATCCTAAAAGTCCTTCCTAAAATTAATCACTCTGGAATACTTTCAAACCCCTCAATGCTCATGCACACCATTTAAGTCTTCCATATTATGTTACAGAAGAGCTTCCCAGCAGTCTCTCCTCCAAGGGAGATCCTAAAAGTCTTTCCCAACTTTAATATTTCTATATTATACTTTCAACCTCCCCCATATCAATGCACACCATATTTAAGTTTTCCACAAGATGCCCCAGAGTAAGAAGAGCATCCCAGGAGCAGAAATCCCTCCTCCAGGAAAGATCCTAAAAGTTTTTCCTAACCTTAATCAAACTCTGGATTACCTTCAAACCTTTCAATTCCCATGCACACCATATTTAGGTGCTCCAAAGGATGTCAGACAATTAGGGAGTGTAAAGAAACACTCACCAGAAGAAAAAAAAAAAATCAGAAATCTGTGAATATCTTCTGCAGGAAACTTCATCAGGGACTAATTACGTCCCTTTGGCATCGTGTTGACAAGGAAACACGATTTAGTGGGAGGCTGAAATTCCGTGAGCAGACGTGGCACAGCACCAGGGAGGAGCTGGATTTTAATGAACATTTTTTACAGATAAATGACAGCCAAGTCAGCGATTTTCTCACTGGGAACCAATTGCAAAGAATTGGATATTCATTTAAATGAGTGCTTATAGCCAGGTGATAAAATAAATAGAATTATTATATGTATTGGACAAAATGACCACATTTTCTGTTAGTGCAGGAATTAAAGATACTATTAGGTTGTGTGGTCCCAAAATTAATTATTCACAAGAGAGAAATGGGAAGCCAAGCCGTACAATAAAATTTTTAATACGTTATTTGGTGTGGAGGGATTTGCTGGAGAGAAGGAGAACATCTAAATAAATTGTGCAGTTGTGAAATAAAGCTGTAAAAAGAACATCCAGGCTTCCACACTCACATCCATAATTGATGATTATATTGATAATTTAGCCTCGTTAGTCCCCAGCTCTGCATCCTCCCAGTCTCATCCAGGATGCTCCAAGGCCAGGTTTATGCCACTTGTGTTTTCCAGGATACATCAAGGAGCTGGAGCCAACAGCCTGAGGCTGATTTTTTGTTGGCTGCAGAAAAACAACCCAGGGTGATGCTCTCTGATAGACAGCTGCAGCCAGAAATCCAGATTCCAAATCCAGGAGTGGGGATGTGAAGGATGAAATGTCTTGAAACCCAATTTCAGATCTCTCCAGACCAGACAAGGTCTGAAGGGAATTTCTGTGCTGAGAAAGGGGAGAGGATGACAAAGCTGTTGTGGGATTTGTAGCCTTTTAATAGAAGACAGAAGCTGCACCAAAAAATCAATTTAAGAAAGTGGAAGCCTGAAATATTGTGCAAAAATAAACACCAACGAGCAGCTGATCCCACATTTATCCCAACTCTGGGATAATCCAATATCCCACGGGGACTTTCCTTCCTCCACCTCCCAGCCCAGGTGTCTTTTCCTCTCTTTCCATCACAAATCAAGCCCCTCTCAGCAGTGGCAGCTCTTTGGCAGCCCTTTCACCTTTGCTTCCAATTTTCCAGAGATGCTGCAGGGCCTCCCAGGGCTCCTGGCTGGCCCCAGCCCCTGCATCCCCTCCTTGGAAGGAGCATTATTCCAGCAGAATTGCTGGAAACCTCACCCAGAGCAACTCCAGGGCTCTCTGGTACTCCCTGCCTCCAGCTCTGGGAATAAATGATAGGAAAAATGTGATATTTGAACACCAACATTTTATTTTGGGCATTCCCACATGCTAACCTCAGTGGCAGCACTGTAAATTGGTCTCCTGGCTGATATAGTGGAAAAGAAACAAGGTTTCTTATTATTTTATACAAGATAAAAAATTTCCCTTTATTCCTCAGAGCTTCAATCAAATTCTGTATGATTTCCACTAAGTTAATGAAGCATTTTGATTATTTAGGAATAAAACTTAAATAATTTTTTAAAATTACATTGATATATTCCTATAAATCGTGACCCCAAAGACATCATCAAAGTTTCAAATTCCCCCAAAAATATCAGAAAATCAGAGGCAGAACAGCAAAAATCTGACACAGACCCAGGATTTCTGTGGCTGCAAACACTTCTCAGCCTGAAAATACAGGACAAACTCTTCAAAGTAGGAATAACTGGGCAAGCTCAAGAAAGTAAATTATAGGAAAGAGGCAATATTTGACCACCAACATTTTATTTGGGTGTTCCAACATGATGACCTGTGCAGAGCGGGGTGGATCAGTCTTTTGCTGATGTACTGGAAGAAAAATTGTAAATTCCTGGAAAAAAATCAGGAAATCAGAGGCAGAATGGCAAAAAACTGACCCAGACCCAGGATTTCTGATGCTGCAAAAACATCTCAGCCTGAAAACACAAGGAAAAACCCTTCAAAGTAGCAATAATTGGGCAAAAGCGTGAGGCTGTGTGATATTGCAGCAGTAGTTAATTGAATGACTTCAAAGAGGTGTTTGTTGAAGCTTTTTTCCATTTGGAATCTAAAATTAGGAGTCTGTAGGAATAGATTGAAGTGTTCAAACCTCCATCTCTTTAGAATTGTTACAGAAATTGCAATACAGGAATTGCTCTTCTCTCCATCTCCACCTCAAGAGGTTGTCTGAAACACTCCACACCTTGAAGCAGCTTCAAAGCCACGTTTTATTGAAATGAAAATATTGCAAAGGTTGTATTTGCCATTTCTTCAAAAACCAGGAGTGGTTTTTGCCCCTCACCCTTCAATAAACTGCACTTGACCACTCAATTCCACTATTCAGTCAAAAATTAAAGCATTTTAACAGCAAAAATAAAAACTATCCAAAGGATGCTCTTGGCCTTGGGCACTGCCAGGGGCAGCCACAGCTGCTCTGGGCAGCCTCACAGGGAAGAATTCCTCCCTAATTTCTGCTCCCTCTGGAACTGGGGGCAAAGCACCACATGATAATTTTTTTTTTTCCCCACGTAAGAATTTGTTTGGAACATTAAAGGATAGATATGCACGAAAATTTTGCCTTTTAAAACTTCCCTTTTGTATTTTTTGGCTTAAAGGAAACTGATTTAAACAGAAGGCAAACACTCCCATCAGCAAGGTTTAAAAATGAGGGGTAATTTTATGTAGCAAAGGGTTGCAGATCTCCCTGCTGCCCCCCTGGCTCATAACAAATAATCTGATTTTTCTCTTTGGCTGCAGTGCAGGGCTGAGTCAGGGTCAGTGAGGGCAGAGTTGAAAGGTGCTGGTCAGGAAATATTTTCTCTGAGTCAGAGGAAACCAATCTCCTTTCTCCCTCCAGATGAGGTGTGTCCTGTCCAACTGCAGCTTTAATTCCAGGGTTTATGGCAGCTGCGAGACAAAAAAAAAAAAAGAAAAAACAAAAGACAAGGAATCATAGGCTAGGCAGAGAATGAACCCCAAGGTGACAAGCAAGAAAAAAGCAAATTATGATTATGGTCTCATTTACAGAGCAATTCCCTGAGCCACAGGAGAGTTTCAATGATTTGAGCCATAACAATTTGAGCTGAGTCACCAAAAACTAAAANAAATTCACCCAAAAAAGGCCCCTTAACATACACAACAAATTACTGAATGCAGGAAACAGTGAATTCATATAACACAACCGTGAAGTTTTCTTCTGCCACTGATATATATGTAAGGAATTGACAATTCACCTTATCTTCTAAGAAGGACATAAGGTAAAAATAAGCTACTCAGCTATTAGCGAAAAATGAGTAGAATTTAATTTCAAGTTTACAAAAAAAAAGAAAAAACAAAAGACAAGGAATCATAGGCTAGGCAGAGAATGAACCCCAAGGTGACAAGCAAGAAAAAAGCAAATTATGGTCTCATTTACAGAGCAATTCCCTGAGCCACAGGAGAGTTTCAATGATTTGAGCCATAACAATTTGAGCTGAGTCACCAAAAACTAAAATACAGTTGAGTCAGATTGTAAGGAAGGAACTCCAGGCTGCTCCCCATGCTCTGAGTCTCTGCTACTCAGTATTTTTAAAGGGCTGCCTGCTTAATTCATCAACACTGAAGGAGCTGAAAAATAATTCCCTGGCAGTTTTTACCAAGACAAATATCAGTTCTTAAATATTGAAATTTTTTTAAACCATATTTCAGAGGGGCCATGTGGCACTGCTGATGGCAGGAGGGCGGGTTTTAGCTCAGTTTATTAGAAAATATCCTTGGATTAGAAAGTTTTGGACTATGTCCCTTGGAGAATAGAGCTGTTGGAATAATGAACCTGGAGAGGTGGATCAGCCAAACAGAACCTCCCATAGTTCTGTGGTTAAAGTTTAACTAGGTACTGGACAAAAAGTGAGGCAAGTTTCTTATTACTTTATACAGGGTAAGAAATTCCCCTTTGTTCCTCAGAGCTTCAATCAAATCCTGACTGATTTCCACTAAGTTAATTAAGCTTTTTGATTATTTAGGAATCGTTTTTTTTTTTTAATTGTATTTATATATTCCTATAAATAATGACCTCAAAGATTTCATCAAAGTCTAAAGCAGTTTGAAAAATAAAATAAAAATCACAAGACTATAGAAATAAAACACATGGATTTCATATCTAATTACTGCTTTAAAAATTTGGCATAAAAAAAAAATCATAAAACCAGAAAAAATCTCAGTTCAATAACACTGGATTGAAAATTAAGTATTTTCCCAGGTATGTACTGCTCCTGAGAAATTCTTGGCTATTTCAAATAATCATAAAAAATTCAGGAATCTCTCCCTGTCATCACAGGACACAGCAGGGGAGCTTCAGGACAAGAACTCCACAGGCTGATGGAAGCAGATTGTGCCTAAAGGTTCATTCGAAAGCTCTGGATGATCCAGGAGCAAGCCTTCAGTATGAAGTGGGATAATTACATTATAATTAATAGAAATAAAAGCTAATGGAATCTCTGTTACTCTACACTGACAATAAATTATTAATTTATGTTCTAGGTTTCAGGCCAAAGAAAATGGGGACTGAGTTTATTTCAAATTCTTGAAATTTGGCTCCAGTCTTGTCATTAAGCAATGAAGCTTCTGTCTGAAATTGTGTTCTCTGGTCACTGTTTAGGTCAGCTGGGGATCAAAAAAAAATGAATAAATTCCTTTGTTTTCTAGTCCAGAACAGATTTTTTCCAGGAATTCTCCCTGCATGTATCCACTGTTTCCCAGAAATGAAGCCCTGCTCAAAGTATTTGTTTCCTCCCTGACAAAAAGCAAAAGGGAAGGAGCTATTCTCTGAAAATACATGGAATTTAATTAGGAATTAGGGGTATTAATTAGAAATTAGAGGTATTTCCTAGAAAATAACCTATTGACAGTAGACAGAACCTCCTCCCACCACTGAAACCCAAGGTCAACACCGTGTTTTCTGAAATTTGAAGGATGAAGAGATTTCCCAAAGGGATAGTTGGGCAATTTGAGGAGAGAAGGAACATTTTACAACTTTATCACAACACATCAGATAGAGATTAGATGTAGATTGGCAGATTCCAGCCTGGCTGTCAGGATTTGAAGAGGAAGAAGTGTCCCAGGAGGAGCTGGAAGGTGCCAGCTCCAGGCTCTGGGTGAATCCCGAGCCGGGATCCGGGAAGCGACGCTTTGGCAAGGACCATAAATCATCCATGGACAATTCCAGCGGCCTTTGCCAGGCTGCTTTGGTTGTCACCGTGGCAACACCTTCTCCCCAGGGCAAAGTTCCATCATTTTACATTTTTATTGCCACAGCTGTTTGCTTAAAGTTTACCAGAACGACTCGGCGCTCAGACAGCGCCAAGGAGGAATCACCCCCATGGTACACGGGACTGAAGGGAACCAAATCCTCTGAAGTGGGGGGGAAATCCGGGGAAAGATGCCATCCAGGAAGAAAACCTCCATGTTTGCCTCTGCTTTCTGTACCTGTGTGAGCTCCTTCGTGGTGATCTGCGTGGTGCTGGCCACCCCGCGGTGGGTGAGCAGCGAGGTTCGGTTCTCGCGCACCGGCTCCACCGTCACCGTCAGCCTCACCTACGGCCTCTTCCGGGGCACCTGCGAGCAGTTCGTGGATGCAGGACTCCAGGTGTCCAAAACCACCTTCCAAGGTAAGTGCTGTACACCAGGAATGGATCACAGCATCCCAGACTGGCTTGGGTTTGGAGGGAGCTTAAATCCCATCCATTCCCACCCCTGCCGTGACAGGGACACCTTCCACTGTCCCAGGCTGCTCCAACCTGGCCTGGAGCACTTCCAAGGATCCAGGGGCAGCCCCAGCTGCTCTGGGCACCTGTGACAGTCTTTATATCTAATTTAAATCCATATCTCATATTTCAAAATGATTTAAACTACTGTAAGATGCATACGTCCGTCAGCGGCACGAGTAAGAAGGTCTCAGGTTTGGATTGGATACTGGGAAGGAATTGGAGTGGCCTTGGACACTTCCAGGGATCCAGGAGCAGTCACAACCTCCCTTGGAAACCCATTCCAGGGCATCACCACCCTCACAGGGAGGAATTCCTTCCCAGAATCCAACCCAAGCCCAAGATCTTCTTACTCATACCGTTGATGGATGTATCCATCTCACAATATTTTGAGTGAGAACAAGAATTGAAGTGGGGGATTTAAGTGGTATAAAATAAGACCCCCAAAAAACACAGAAATTCAACAATAACAACTTACTACCTGTGATCATGGCCTGCACCTAGGAACAAGGGAAAAAAAAAAAACACAAAATGGGAGCTTTCTGTAAAACTGACTTTGATTTTCAGAAGTTCAGTGAGGAACAGAAAAGCAACACTCATCAGTTAACAAAGGGATTTACAAACCTAATTCACCTTCCAATTTCATTATGTTAATTTATTGTTTTGACTTTAAACATTTTGCTATTGAATTAGCACGGTTTTGATAGAGAAATGTTTGAAGGCTGCTGTAGGAAAAAGAACAAAACACACAAAACAACACCCAAGGGTAGATAAACCTGAAAGATCAAGGGTTTGCACTTATTTTATCTGCCTTGCTGCCTCATCAAATTCAGAGCAATAATGATGGTGACACACGGGAAAAGGGAGAAAAGCCATTCAAAAATAAAGTTACCAAAAATATGAGCAGGTCAAGTAATTTTGAAATATGAGATATGGATTTAAATTAGATATAAAGACTAGCACAAGTGCCCAGAGGAGCTGGGGCTGCCCCTGGATCCCTGGCAGTGCCCAAGGCCAGGCTGGACACTGGGGTTGGAGCAGCCTGGGACAGTGGGAGGGGTCCCTGCCATGGCAGGGACGGCCCTGGGTAGGATTTAAAGTCCCTTTGAACCCAAACCAATCTGTGATTTTAAGATTCTTTAAGAAATAATTTCATTTTTTGGTAAGCTATTGTGAGATGTCCCAGCACAGCAGGTCGAAACCTCCAGCCTAATAAATTAGGCTCTTGCCCAGCCTAATTTATTCCTGAAGTTGCACCTCAGAAGCACCTGAATTCCCACGGTGGCAGAGCTGTGTTACACAAACCAGCCCCCACGTTTGACTGGATTCCATTTCATTCCCGTTCTCACGAAACCCTGAGCACAGGAGCATTCCCAGCCAGAGGTGGAGCTTGGATTGGTATTGTTACATAACAAGTACAAAATCCCAAATCATTCCATCTTGTTTTATTACAGTCACAGCAGAATAACCAAAGTGATTTTTAGAACAGTTAATAATGATAAATAAATAAAATCATTGCTATGTGGTTGTAGTTGGCTGAAGCCCCAAACCTTGAGCCATGTGGGCAGCTCTGGCTGATTTGAATTGGGCTCTGTGGGAAAGGTGGAATCCTGCCCTGGGGATGGCAGGGGAGGTTCCAGGTTGGCTGCAGCCCAGGGATTGTGCCCTGCCTTTGTCTAAAGCAGCTCCCACAGCCCAGTCCCAGGGCCTGGGTGTTACCACCAGATAGATTTTAATTAGAATTAATGAAATGAACTCACAGCACTCTGGTATCAGTGAAGGGTTTCAGTTCTTTGCATGGTCTGCATTGGTGGGGTTGGGTTTTCCCTCACCAGGTTGGGGTTTTGTGTTTATCATTTGTGTTTATCAACTCTCCCCATCAGTTATTTAGGGATGAACAAAATCAGCTTCTGGATTTGTGAGTTTCCTTCCACAGCTGCTGAAGGAAAGTGATGCTTTATCAATAATCTAAATTTGGGTTTTCCCACATCCTTCACTGGTTCTGTCAGGAAGCTATCCAGAATGAGAAGAACTGACTTGAAATTAATTCTTGAGCTCTAGAACAAGCATGATTATCATGTTTTATATTATTGGCTAAAGAAATCCTTCCCTGGGAGGGTGCTGGGCTGGCACAGGTGCCCAGAGCAGCTGGGGCTGCCCCTGGATCCCTGGCAGTGCCCAAGGCCAGGCTGGACACTGGGGCTGGAGCTCCTGGGACAGTGGGAGGTGTCCCTGCCATGGCAGGGATGGCACTGGGTGGATTTAAAGTCCCTTCCCACCCAAACCAGTCTGTTCAATCATTCTATTCCATATACAATTGAAATAGGAAAAATACTTCCTAGAATTCCATACCTTCTCTCTTCATATCCAAAATCATTTATATTCCTGTCCTCCTAAGGCAGGAGATGCATTTCCTGTGCTGATATCCTTAAATAAATGGATTTCCAGTGCTATGGAGGAGCAAAGTGCTGACCTTTCTCCATTCCAACATTTCAGACATCAACAAGAGGAGTTCTAAACAACCCCTAAAATCACAGCATGGTTTAAAAGCAGCTGTGCCCTGCCTGGGGGCTCTGCTGTGCACCCCACGTGCACTTCTCAAATGGCATTGTCATATTTGGGTGTGGGAAAGAAGGACAGTCCCTGAAGGGTAAATCAAAGTCAAGAACTTGGGATTATTTTCAGCAATAGCCCAGGCTGTCTTTTATCAGTGTCCATTTAAAAGCAGATCATCAACAGCCTTTACAAAAAACCAACTTATTTCTCTAGAAACCACAACATTCAAAGGCATTTCCAAGCATAAAGATGAAAGACAAAGAAATGTAATTTCTGGCAGTGCCCTGTGCATGGAGTGCCCAGCCAGGGTGGCTCTTTCCCAGCCTTAATAGAACAATAAATCACTGCAGCCACTCCCCAGGCTCTGGGGATGGCAGAATGCAAAAGTTATTTAATAACCAAACTCCTCAGAGCCTTCCTGAGCTGTTTGAATGATTTGTCCTAGAGTAGGAGTAAAATGCCAGTCAGGGAAGGTTTGGGCACAGCTCTGACTGCTCCAAGTCAAACACGTGGAGGTAGAGCCAGGCTCAGGAAGAACCACACCCAGGGAGTCTGGAACGTCAGGATTTATCCAACTGCTGGCAGCCAGCAAGGCCAACAACACCCAAGGAAGTATTTCCAAATTTACTACAGAACAGAGGAATCATTTCACTTCCTAACTTAAATATATTCTAAAATATATGACAAAACTTAAACATATTCTAAAATACATAAGAAAAAAACCTTGGAAATGGCTGGAATTCATTCGTGTTCTCACCAATTTCCAGGCATCTCCTGAAAAGTGGGAAGCTCTGTTGAACCCTCCTCTGGATTTTTTGTTTGTTTGGGCTTTTTTCAGTGATTAATTCCTGATGTGTCATGGGCGATTGCAGAGCTGTAAAAGCTGCTGGAAAGGCTGACAGAGCTCAGTGAAAGTCTGGGAAATCCTACCCAAACATGTAAGAATAAAGGATGAAAACTGAAAGAAGTTACAGGAAATTAAGGAGAAATCTGACTAAACCCTGTTTTCATCCTAAAATTGTTTCACACAGATCCAGAGGTTATCCAGCTGCAGGTTACCACTCCAAATATTTGAGTTTCATCCCACTCAAATAGATCAGCTGCAGGAGACTCCTTCTGTTTGCACAGACTGCTTTATTTAGGGATTTTTAAAAATCAGCTGCTGTGAAAAGAGCATTTTCTTTCAAGCCCTCAGCCTTGTGCTGTTGCAGACACAGCTACAACTGCTGGAGGCTGCCAAAATGCCACCCCCTAAACTGCAGCTCAGCCAGACAGAAACAAGATCAATTAGGGGGTGCAAGAGGTGTAGCCAGGCAATTCTGGAGATGTTCTGAGAGATGAAATGAAGTGAGGCTGCCAGGGGGAAATTACACAAGCCTGTCTGATTTGGCTCCAGACTTATTTCTTCTTCAAGAAATAGATCACAGGTGATGGCCAGGCTGCTTCAGCCCGAGTGCAGGGTACAACCTGCTCACTTCCATTCCATTGAGTGATATCCCCTGGCTGCCCTGCTTCCCTTTTCTTCCAAGAAAATTGCTTAAATTTACAACTGATTTCCATAGCACATCCTTACCTGCAAATGCCTCGAGCAGAAATTAACTTGTACTGCAGTATTAGATAAAACGTGAAAGGAATTATCCTTTTCATTCCTCGCCAGCAGCTCTTTTTGTTATGTTTATTCCTCTTTCTGAGGTTTTCACTCTTTTTTTTTTTCCTGCTGTGATTTCTCCCAGTTATGCACTACCTGAATATTTTGCAATAATGGCTCTGTTCAAGAACAGCACAGAAAGGGAATTTTCCTACTGAAGTCTGTCTCTCACAACACTGAACAGAGCTCCAAAATGTTGTCACTGTATTTGCTGCAACATAAAGCACATTAGAGCTGCCTTTTCAATCTTTAAATTGAGACGAGGGAAATAATTCAGCTCAACAAAATACACTTTGAGGGTACTGCATTTGGGGTTGAGTCTCTTGTTACCAGCAATTTAGCGAGGAACTGGATTTAGGCAAAAATTGGTGACAGTTCTGAAGGGATTGACCACAAGAGCCGTGGAACTACAGCAGGGAATGATCTGGGAACAAGCTGGGAAAAAGGAGAGGGAGCAGGATTTGGGATCAGGGCCACGTGCCCACAAAGCTCAGCCCTGGAAAAGGCATCAAGGAGACAGCCCCAGCTTGTGCCAGAGGGGGTTAGACTGGAGATTTGGGAAAGTTTGCTCCCAGAAAAAGGGTGGTGAAGCATTGGAACAGGGAGCCTGTGGTTCCAACGTTGTTTATTCTGTTTATCTCTCACATGTTCTGCTGCCCTGCCCAGCTCTGTCCTGCAGGGCAGCGTGTGGGGCTCTGCCCTCAGTGGGATGTGACAAACATTAAATACCAGAAACTCCCTGGGCTGCATTTACAAGAACGTGCCAATATCTGTCACCTACGTTGGACAGTGTGTCCCCAGCCTGAACCAACAGAAAAATGCCAACACCACAGTGAAACATGGAGGGCATGAAGAAGGAGAAAAAGGACAAGACACACCCAATTTCATCCATCTTGTCCCCTTTGGACCCCTCATCTAGAATCCTAAAATTTTACTTTTGCACCCGTGCCGCTCTTAATTATTACTGATATCAAACACTCAGAGCTGGTAATTCATCCTGTAAGATTGAAAACTCTTTTCCATGGCCAGAGATCACAGCCAGTGTCTCTGGGGCTCTGTCCAGGGGGGTTCCTGACCCCTGCCAGGGTCCCAGGGCAGCCAGAGGGATGCTCTGGATTCCCACAATGACCACCTACACTTTCTGTGCAGTTCAGAGTCACACAGAGAGCACCACAGGATCTGAAAAGCAGGAAACCTAAAATCCCAGGCATCACCCTGTGCTCTGTCCCCACTGTGTTGCAGTCTCCGAGGCCCTGAGCAGCAGCAGGAGCAGCAGCCTGACCGTGGCCACCATCGTGGTGCTGGTGCTGGCCCTGCTGGGCTCCCTGCTCAGCTCTGCCTTCACCTGCACCAACGCCGTCAGCAACCCCTACCAGACCTTCCTGGGGCCCGTCGGGGTCTACACCTGGAACTCCCTGTCTGGTCAGTGCCATTACAATACTTACATCTGTTCTATTTACATATACTCCTTATGTATATTATATAGATAAATTATTTATATATAGAAAAATATATTATTATACATAGAAAAATATTGTTTATGCTGTTATATATTTTGTATTATAGTATATGTATATGTTATCTATTAGATATAATTTTTAGATAAAATATATTATATATATATACATGTTATATATAAAAATAATATATATAGATCATATACTATTATATTATATAGTATTATATACTATAATATACTATTATATTATATACTATTATATACTATACTATACTATACTATACTATACTAATATATACTAATATATACTATTATATTATATACTTATCTATAATATTATTTACATATATAAAATATATTTTAATAGATATAGATCATATACTATTAAATTATATATTATTATAAGCTATTATATTATATGATAGACTATGATATTATTATATTATATTATATTATATTATATTATATTATATTATGTTATGTTATGTTATGTTATGTTATGTTATGTTATGTTATGTTATATTATATTATATTATATTATATTATAGGATAGTATAGGATAGTATAGGATAGTATATTATATTTATTATAATATGTATTGAATATAATATACTATTTATTATATATTCTATTACTATATAATACCTAGAATATATTATATGTATATAATCTATATATAGAATATATCCTATTACTATATAATCTATATTATATAGAATATATATTTTATCTATTTTTTAAATATATAACACAATATTTATATATTCTGACATTAAGGAGCATTGAGCTGCAAGAAGAAACAGCTGGAAATGCGTTCTGCTCTCTGGATTTGGTTTTTAACTGTGACTCCTGGCACACCTGAAAAGCCTCTTTTAAATATGATTAGAATACATTTTATAGCAATAAAATAATATTTATATGGTAGTATTTGTAGGGAGGCAGCCCTTCGGAGGAGTGAGCCATGACAATAATGATTTTTCTCTTTAAAAAATAAAAATTCACAGGTGAAAATAAATTTAAACTCATTAATCATTAAAAAAAGGGTGGAGCTGCTGACTCATTAGAGCTGCGAGTCTCACACTCAGACTCCAGAGGTTTAGGTGTTCCTCTGATAATGGGTTTGCACTTGAATTATTTTCATTTTAACACATCTGATTACAGAGTATTTCAGCACGGGTATTTTGGCCTTGCAAAGCTCTTCAGGAAAATGTGTCCCCAGCAGCATCAGCCTGTCCTGGGGACAAAACCAGACCTTGGTGGGAAGGGAACAGTGCAGACAATCTCAATTATTCCAAGTACACGTGGAGGAGTACAAATCACCCGTTTTTTAACACAGATGCTGAAACAGATGTGAAGCACAGAAGGAAAAGTGAGCAAAGCTTAATTAGACAATTATTCACTTCTGAGACAAGCAGATCATTGTCTCATCCCAAGGGAAGGGTTTCCTGAACCTGCAAGCCCTGTCTGAAATGAAAGGACCGTGGGCTGGCCAAAATAAATATTGGGGAGAAAACAAATTCTTGTGCTGCCTGAGGGCTGGGGTTACTTTTAACAGCCCTGCAAGTGATGAGACCTGGAAGGTCATTTTGCTGTGGGGTAATTTTTATGGGACATCAGGAATTATTTCATGTGGGAGGTCATCCTGGAGGTTCCTAATTCTCCTACTGAATAAAAAGTGAAGCTTTTTCAGCGTGAGCTGGGCTTGGATGAGGCACCTGTGTGGCAAGCACATTTCTCTCCCTCTCAGGATTTTCATAGAGGTGCACAGAGAAATGAAAGAGAAAACAATTTCTATTTCTGCTCCTTGTTTTTCTCATGTGGAATGTGTTTGGAGAATTGTTTACCTGGGGTGATTGCTTGGTTGGATTCTGGTGAGGATTGTTTGAGCCTGATGGCCAATCCAATCCAATCCAATCCAATCCAATCCAATCCAATCCAATCCAATCCAATCCAATCCAATCCAACCCAACCCAATCCAATCCAATCCAACCCAATCCAATCCAACCCAATCCAATCCAACCCAATCCAATCCAATCCAATCCAATCCAACCCAATCCAACCCAATCCAATCCAATCCAACCCACCTGAGGCTGCACTCTCAGAGAGGGTCACAAGTTGTGTTAAAGTAGTATGTAGTTTTAGTATCTTCCTTTTATATAGCATATTAATGTATTTTAGCATAGTTCTAATAAAGAAATCATTCAGCCTTCTGAATTGAGTCAGACATCAGCATTCCTTCCCATTGGGTTCTCCTGCATTTACAATAATGCCTGGAGAGGAGGAATGGAACTGTTCCAGCAAAATTCAGAGATCACAGCTCTGTTGGCACGAGGAAAGCAGAGGTGCAACAGCAATATTCAGATAAATGTCAAAGCACTGAACTTTTACATTTGGGAGGCTGTAAGAAATAAACCCAGATCTAATAAGACATCACATTTTGGCTTACCCCAGACTCATCCAATAATTCCAGTTGTAAAGAACAGGTCTCCAGTCTCAGCTCTCGGGCCACTCCTCAGCACAGACAAGGCTGCTCAGGGCTTTGTCCAGCTGTGGTATTTATCCAGCTGTGACATTTTTCCAGCTGTGATATCAATCCAGCTGTGATATCAATCCAGCTGTGATATTTTATCCAGCTGTTTTGATTTTATCCAACTGTGAGACTGCCCATCCATGAATTTGGGCTCATATCAAACAGACATTTACAAATCACCAAGAGGGTGAATACACAATACTCAGCAGCACTAAATTAAATTTTAAAAAAAATTGAATTAGATGGCCTTATCTAAGAATAATCAGCGAGAATTGAATAATTCTAGATTATATCATTTCCTATATCAAAACACCTGTCAGACACTATTGGGGGGGGGCAAAAATTCTTTAAATGCCCCCATAGTTTAGTCATTGTTAATATTATATAAATTGATTAAAATCCCTGGACTAGGACAAAGATTAAAGCAGAATATAATAAATAATGTAATGTAACATAATACAATACAATAAAATATAATATTAGATAAATTGATCAAAATCCCTGGACTAGGACAAGGATTAAAGCAGAATATAATAAATAATGTAATGCAATATAATACAATACAATAAATACAATACAATAAAATATAATATTAGATAAATTGATTAAAATCCCTGGACTAGGACAAGGATTAAAGCAGAATATAATAATTAATGTTATGTGATGTAATACCATAAATAATATAATATAGAATAGAATAGAATAGAATAGAATAGAATAGAATAGAATAGAATAGAATAGAATAGAATAGAATAGAATAGAATTAATATAATATATAAATTGATTAAAATCCCTGGACTAGGACAAGGATTAAAGCAGAAAATAATAAATATAATATAATATAATGTAATGTATTGTAATGTAATGTAATGTAATGTAATAATATAATATAATATAATATAATATAATATAATATAATATAATATAATATAATATAATAAATATAATATGTCACTACACAAATAGCACTACAGTTCCTCCTCTAAATTTGTATTTCTGTTTCCCAGGAGTCCTCATCCTCATAGCCATGATCCTTTTCCCTGTGAACGTGGAAGGGAACAGCCTGTCTGAAGAGCTGGCCCAAAGCTGTTCCAGCTCCCTGCAGACCCACCTTGGATCCACACACAACTATGGATATTCCTACTGGATCATGCTGCTCATCCTTTTCCTGAACATTGCTTCTATCATCATCATCTATTTCTATGACCATGCCAGATATTCCAAGAAGAAAGAGCAGGAAAGACCCATAGAAAATGCACCAAAGGATGTTATTCTGTTTTAAGGACACCTTGGAAAAGGGGGTTTGAAGGAAGAGGACTTTAGTGTGGCCAGCAAATTTCCATTTGCTCTGAACTGTGTGCACACTTCAATTCCCGGGTTGTTTTGAGGACACAAAAGCCAGTTTTGATTTTAGCTGCCTGCTGGCCCGAGCAGGAAGATCAAAGCCGTGGTTTTGGGGGTGTGGGATTTGGGATCTCGAGGGACAGAGCACAGCAGCATCCCTTGGGATGAGGAGGAATGGTCACCGAGGTGCTGCTGCTCCGTTTTCTCCGTGCTCTGCTCGGGGATCTCCTGCAGCTCTGGAGGCTCCTGGGCATGGCAGCAAAACCAACAGGACACAGAGCTGGAGTCCCCATCCCTGGGGGGCTTTGAAGCCCTGTGGAGGTGGCACTTGGGGACACGGGCCACTGGTGGCCTGGGCACTGCTGAGGAGTGGCTGGACTCCATGGATTTTCCAACATAAATGATTCCACAGTGCCACGACAGCAGAGAAACCCGGTCTCCACAGGCTATTAATGCACAGAAAGAGCAGGAAAATCCTGCAGGAAAAGCACTGCCAAGAGCCAAGGGCAAAGCCACACCTCGGGCAGGTGTGCCCAGCCCCTCTGCACAAATCTCTGCCTGTACAAAGTCCCCAGCTGGGTTATCAGGGATGATTTCTGGCCCCTTTTCCTGGGCTGAGGAGTATTTAATGTGCTCACAAAGGCTGCAGCACTGCCCAGGAGTGCAGCTCCCCTCTCCTTGCTCCCAAGGAATGAGCAGTGGGACCTTGGGACAGATCCAAAGTGCAAAATCCCGCTCAGAGCACGTGTTCAGCACTTCTGCCCCTTTGTCCCTCACATCTGCAGCCAGCAGAGACTTTATTATTCCTTTAAAAAGAAAAAAAAACTCCTTTTCCTTTCCAGTGCGATTTTTCAGTCACGCTCTGTATCTGTCCTGTGATACAAGACGTGCTCGTGGAGATGAAAAAGCATTCTGAAGAGGGGATGAAGTGAATACAAGAGGTGAATCCTCACTATTTATGTCACAAAAATAAAGTTTGGAGATGAAAGCAGCCAGCACTTTGTGCAGCTGACCTCTTTCAAAGGAACCAAAGCAAAGGGATTTCCCATCCCTCTTAAAAGGGTGCTGAGGGCAGAGTGAGGAATAAAAAATAAAAGAGGGATTCTGAGACTTGAGGTCAATAAAATCAGGGCTGATCTTTGTGTGCCTGGAAGTGCTGGGGAGGGCTTGGAAACGTCATGGTGGAGCCAAACATTTGCCAGTTGTGCTTTGGCTGCAAAAATGTTCACAGTTTCTGCATTCATCTGCCAGTGTTGGGCCAGTCAGCATCTGCCACACGCCACAGCTCTGCCCAGAGGGGCTTGGTGGAGGGATGGAGGCAGAATAATCCAGGAGGAGCAGGAATTCCAGCTCTGGAGAGCTCAGAGGTGTCTGGTGGAGTGATGGAGTCAGAATAATCCAGGAGGAGCAGGAATTCCAGTTTTTGAGAGCTCAGAGGTGTCTGGTGGAGGGATGGAGTCAGAATAATCCAGGAGGGACAAGAATTCCAGCTCTGGAAAACTAAAAGGGGTTGGTGGAGGGATGGAATCAGAATAATCCAGGAGGAGGAAGAATTCCAGCTCTAGAAAGTTCAGAGGGGTCTGGTGAAGAGATGGAAAATCAGAATAATCCAGGAGGAGCAATAATTTTTTCCTCCTTTTCCCAATTTTTCTCCCTCCTTCAGCCTGGAAGTGCACAACCCCTTGGTTCCTGGGCAGTTTGAATTCCTGCTGTTCATCCCTGTCCTGGCTGGCTCCTGAGCAGCCTTTTCCCTTCAGGAATGGGGAATTCCAGAGTTTTCTTATTTTCTATTTTAATATAGAGCAGGAGCTCCCAAATCCAGGCAGTTCCTGATAACTCAGTTTATCATCTCATTATCCAACCAGCCCTGGACACTTCCAGGGATAGAATCCTGAATCCCCCAGTTATCCCAGGGAATTATTGGCATTTCCAGGAATTAAGGACTTTCTGCTGGAGGAGCAGTTCCTGCGGTGCCCAAACCACACCAAAACAACCTCTAGGAAGAGAAAGAACTGAAAAATTAGGAAATAAATCCCAGCCAACAGCATTCCCTGGAATAACTCAGGACATGGAGTCAGCCCTTCCTGTCCTGCTCCTGTGCCTGGAAAGGGAATTTTGCTGGAGCAGGAGGATGCTCCCAGCTTTTTATTCCCATTTTTCTGCCGGCTGTTTGCTCCGGGAGCCATGAGAGGGCAGCAGGCTCCTTCCTAGGATTCCTTGGCTTTGCATTCCTGGTTTATTTGGATGCAAAGTGGACGGCGAGAAAGGCAGGGAGGGACAGGGAGAACTTTCCCAACTCGACTTGCCAAGGAATATTTGATTGCACCTCCTCAAAACTCACCAAAAGAACAAGTATTTCCCAAATTAAATTGATTTTTAAGCCTCTAATTGACATCCTAACTCTGTGGGAATGAGCACAAGGGGATGGAACAGAGTGGTGGGCTCCTGGGAAAAGTTTTTGGCTCATTCCCAATATTATTTTATATATATATATATATATATATATATATATATATATATATAAGAGGAAACTTACCCCAAAAAAGCCAAGAGGAAAGCGCAAATACAATATTAAAAAATATAATTGGAATTAACAAAGTTATTGATTAAAAATGGTCAGAAATACAGATTCAAGAATAAAATGGGATTTTATACAGGACAGATCTGACAAACAAGGGTAAAAAAACTGAGTTTTGCAAAGGTAACCAAGGCAACGTTCACTTATATTTCTTGATCATACAAGTGTGAGCAAAACCATCCTCTCAAATAAGAATAGAACTGTATCATTCAAAAACTATTTCATAAAAATATGATTATTTCTTCCCTGGCTGTAAGGAAGAGAGACTTTATCAGTTGTTGATACATCAGTGATGTGCTGCCTCTGTTAAATCCCCAAGAAAATAAACCAGAAGCCACCCAAGTGCCTTTTTTTTTTCTTTTTTATTTCCTGCATTTTGAAATAAACTGGATTTATTTTTCCAGCACTTTGCTGAAAATGAAACTTTGAACAGGTGAGAAAACACAAAAATGTAATTCAAAGCCCCATTGAAATGGCCACATCAATGAAGATTTAAATGTCATTTTCAGCCTCTTTTCTTACATCTATCACTGAGCTCCCTGCAGATCTGAAATTATACTGGATTTTAATAACACCTCTGGGTTTAATGTGAGATAATGAATGAAATCTGCCCACAGATGGAAAAGGATCCTGCCAGCGAGGGGAAATTCAAATTATTTCTCTGCAGCCGGAGGGTGACTCCTTCTAATCTGGAAAAACTTCCATTATTGAAAACAAAGGAGAAGGAGCTGCAGCTTCTGCTTAATTCTGGGGGGACTTTTCAGCTATTTTTAAATGAAATGCAGGTTGAGAACAGATTTTAGGCAATTTATTGCACAAGTAAGGCTGGTGGGAAAATGCAAGATGCAGGAGAGAATCCCAGTCCTTCATCAGAGAGCTGCAGCAGGCAAACAGAGCCAGGTGTAAGCAAGGACTTGAGAAGGGCAGCACATTTTGGTTTTCCTCAAATAGATTTTTAAAGGAGAGCCAGGTAACATTGACCTTTTCTGTAGATAATTCACTTCACCCTTCTTTTCTCTAAGGAAGATGTCATCACTTATCCCATGAAATGCTCCCTGGCATGGACTTGCAAGAATGGAGCCCAGAGGTTGATTCCATCATTTATATTGATTTATTACACCTGTCTAAAACAATTTCAAGAGGATTTTTTTTTTTTCCCCCTCTGGGAAGCTCTGAAGTCCCAACCATGCCTCTTGATCACACAGAAAAAAATCAACAGAAATTATTACCTGGCAATTCTGAAAGCCAAAAAAAGGAGAGACCGACACACTTTTTGTGCACAGACCCGTGCCCACTGTGAATTTTGATGCAAATATGAAAATATATGAAAACCCTGCATTTTCAACACTTAAAACTTCCTTCTTGTGGCACACCAGCCTAAAAACTTCCATAAAGAAACGCGGGGCAATGTGGGAAATGGATTTACAGAGAAATTTTCCAACCTGATAGAAGGCTCACATCACACACATTTGTGTGTAAGCTTTGAGAGAAGAAATGCTGATTTAGAAATGCCATGGAATAGGACAGGCATTGTTGAGAGAGAAATGGAACCAGAAACAAATATATTTTCTATATAATTATATATAGATTCATAATTATATATAGATTATAATTATATATATTATAATGATACATATTATAATTATACATATTATAATTATATATATTATAATTATAAAAATACATAATATATAATATTATATTTATACATAGTTACATAAAAGATGATATTATACATAGTATATTATGATCTATTATATATAGTATACTGTTACATATTATAAGACACTATTAATATATATTAATATGTTACATATTTCAGGGCAGTAGAATGGAGCACTTGAAGGCTTTCAAACAGCTGTGACTGAATTGTGTAAAAAGTCACCAGAGTGTTTAAAAATTTAATTATCTATTTAGTCAAGATTTGTTGCAGACTCCGTCTTTTCATCCCTTGCAGGGAAATGGAGACAATTTTGCTCCTTGGCTGTGACTTGGTTTTCGTTCTTCAAGGGACAACAATTATGGAATTGTGGAATTGTTTGGGTTGGGAGGGAATTAAAATCACCCTGCCATGGCCAGGGACCCTTCCACTGTCCCAGGTTGCTCCAAACCCCTCCAGCCTGGCCCTGGGCACTGCCAGGGAACAATTCCTTCCAAAAATCCCTCTAAATCTGCCTTTTTTCCATTTAAAGCCACCCCCCCTGAGCAGCCAGGGAAATAATTCCACTCAAAGCCAGCACAGGCTAGCAGGGAAAGCAGAATAAGAGCAAGGTTGGCGTTGGCCTAATTAATAATGCAAATACCAGGGGCTGGATCATTAAAATGTAATTTATCCCCAGCAGCTGCTGATGGAGAGAAGT